TAAAAAAAAAAAAAAAAAAAAAAAAAAAAAAGTAATAATAAAGAAGGATATATTATTTATGAATGTCTATCAATTTTATTTCCTATACTAATATACTTTTAAAAATTATTTTATATTTTTTAAAAAATTTTAAATAGTACATATATCAATATGTGTTAAAAAGGGTATTGTTTTTGTTACTAAAATATAATGAAAATATAATAAAAATATAATAAAAATATAATAAAAATATAATGAAAATATGTTAATTATTTTCTTATAAACATAAAATAATAAGCAATGCTAAATAATACAATAACTAAAGCTAAAATAGAATAATTGGATTTTTCTTCAGGAACCTAAGTGAAAATCGAAATAAAAAAAAAAAAAAAAAAATTAAATTAAAATACGAATATAAAAATATACATTATTAAAATGTTATAATAAAAATGAATTAAAATTTTGAAATGAATATTTTATTTTAATTTTGTTTTGTTTGTATATATATATATATATATATATATATATATATATATATATATATATATGTATATAATTAACATTATTTTTATTTTCTCATATTTAGTGTAACTTTTTTTTTTTTTCTAATTTTAATTAATCTTTGTAAACTTTTCTTATTATATATATTTAAAACTTTTTACTTTTAGATATTTAATTCTAACATTTGGAGGTTTATATGTTTTTACATCTTCTTCTTCTTCTATTTCTTCTTCTGACACATTAATATATTCTCTTTCATTTTCTATTATTTTTGTTTCTACTTTTTTTTTATATTTTTCAGTATCTTTTTTTACACCAATTAAATAACTTTTCATCAATTTTTTTGCATATGTAGAATGACCAATTTCATTAAAAGATGCTGTAGCATCTATTCCTATTTAAAGAAAAAATGAAATAATATAAATAATATAAAATAATAACACACTAATAATACAATTAATAGAGAAAAAAAACGATTAAAAAATAAACTTCTATTTTTTATATATAAAATAAAAAACTAATGAAATGCATACAATTTAACCTTCATATTCTTTAAAAAGATCAAAACCACCAGGATGTTCATAAAATGAACTAACATCATAAACTAAATCATTTATTATAATGCAGCATTTTGATTCATTTTTAAAATTTTTTAAATCATTTTCATCAATTACTTTTAATTTTTGTTCAACCATTTTAATATTTTAATTCACTAAAATTATACAAAAAAAAAAAAAAAAAAAAAAAAAAAAATTTTTTTTTTTTNAAAAAAAAAAAAAAAAAAAAAAAAAAAAAAAAAAAAGTATATTTATTTAGTTTAAATAATCCAGTTTAAATAAAAAATTATAAGTAAAAGTTAAAATAGCAATATTCAATATTAATTACACAATTTACAAATATAATGTTATTATAGATCTGTTAAAAAAAATTTCAGTTTTATATTTAACATAAAAATTTTTAAGTCATATATATATATATATATATATATATATATATATATATGAATATGCTATATACATATTTATATATTTTCTTATTATTTTATTTTAATTATTATTCTCTTCTATTTTTTTTTTTTTTTTTTTTGTCATGTGGTTATTTATTTATTTTTTTTATTGAAGCAACATTGATGACAATTTAAGATTTAATAAAAATCTTTTAGATATTTATTAACTTTATATATAATAAATATTTACATAAAAATACTAATACTTTTGAAGTGTAAAATTAAATTGATCATATAATTAAAATAATGTGCAATATCTATTGCATCCTTTAAATAACATATGTATCTTCATTTTGATAGGATTAAATAAACTTTCTTTTTTTTTTTTTTTTTTAATTTTTTTTAAAAGAAAATCAACTTTTAATAGTCATAAAATAAAAATAATATATATTTCTCCATAATTTCCATTTAATTTTCTTGTATTATTATTTTATTATTTTTTATTTTTCATTTAAATTATAAATTTGTGTATTTATTTTTTAGTAATTGTAAACTGAAATTTTAAAATCTAAAAATTTCTTAAATAAAATATATGTTTATATTTTTTTTTTTTCTTAGTTTTTAGATATTCTCATTTTTATTAATTCAATTAAACTTTTAAATAAATAAAAACTATTTATATTAAAAATATTAATATTTATTAATAGTTCTTTAACTATTTATTTCAGGTATAACATGAAATAACAAAAAAAAAAAAGAAAAGAGAAAAAGGAAGAAAAAAAAAAAAAAAAAAAAACAAATACATAGAAAAGAGGAGAGGAGAGAAAAAAAAAAATATAAGAAAAGATGAAAATTCAAAAGAAAAAAAAGGAAACAAAAATAATCTATTAAATTAGAATGTTTCTAAGATATATACACATTTTTTTTTTTTTTTTTTTTATAATTTATTTTTACATATGTATAGGTTTATCAAAAGAATGTAATGCAACTTCTTTAATTACCTCAGAAAATGTAGGATGAGGATATATAATTTTACTTAAACTTTTAGATGATCCATTATTACTTACATAAATTGATATTGGTAAAATTAAATCACTTGCATTATTTCCAATTATTTGAGAACCTAATATTTTGTTTGTATCCTTTTCAACAATTAATTTAATTAAACCATCATAATCATCTATCGTTCTCGCTCTACTATTAGCAGCAAATGGGAAACTAACTGATTTAAAATTTATATTTAACTTTTTACATTTTTCTTCATTGTATCCAACACTAGCAACTTCAGGGTGGGTATATATTACACTTGGTACTAAATCATGGTTAATATGACTTTTTTTTTTTTTATTTTTTTTTAATTCAGAAAATAACATATTAGCTACTATATAACCTTCTTCTTCAGCTTTGTGAGCTAACATGGGTCCATCAATTACATCTCCAATAGCTTTGATAGTAGAGAATGGTGTTACATTAAAATATTCATCCACCTGTATTTTTTTATTTTTATTTAGTTCTATATTTAAGTTATGCAAATTTAAATTTTCTAAATTTGCCTTTCTCCCAACACAAATAAGTACAACTTCAGATTTCACTTTTTTTATTTCATTTGTTTTGTTATTCTTACAAAATAAAATAGCTTCATTATTTATTATATTAGCACCTATTATTGATGTATTAAATTTAAATTTCATTTTAATTTTTTCTAATGTTTTCTGTAAAACTTTACTGACATCAGCATCAAGAAAAGTACACAATCTATCATTATACTCAAATATAGTAACATCTGATCCCAACTTTGAAAATACAGAACCTATTTCTATTCCAATAACCCCACCACCAATAATAGACATTTTTTTTGGTATTTTTTTAAAATTTAATATATCATCAGAATTTTGTATAATTTCATGATCATATTCTAAAATATCCGTAACATTATCTATATCATCTAGATTATTATCGTTTAATTTTTTTAAAGGTATTTCAATTGGTTTAGAACCGGTAGCTATAACAATCCTTTCTGCTGTAATTTTTTTCTCTTCCTTTTCACTTTTTACTAAAACTGTATTTTCATCAATTATGCTTCCATGACCAATAATATGATTTACATTATTTTTTTTATACAAAAAAGATATACCATCTGCTAAGTTACCCATACATTTGTTTTTATGTTTATGAATAGTATCAATGTCTATATTTATATTATCTATTAATATTCCACTATCCTTAAATCTATTTTTTGCTTCATAATAGTTGTGTGCAATATGTAATAAGGACTTTGATGGAATACAACCTCTATTTAAACATGTTCCACCTAATTTTTTATCTTCATTTATATTTAAAACTTTTAATTTATGCTGACCACAACGAATACTACACACATATCCTCCAGGTCCACCACCTATAACTATAACATCGTAGCTAAAAAAAAAAAAAAAATTTTTTTTTCAAATCATCATATATTACTGAAATGTTAATAAAAATAATAAATATAAATATAATTTCAAATTTTTTAAATTTCCATTAAAAAATTAAAAGTACACACATTGAATAAAATATCTTATTAAATACAAATATAGATAATATAAAAAATGAATATTGAATTATAAATATAAAATTCAAAATAAAGAAAAATTAATAAATATCCTAATAAAAAAAAAATTTTAATGAATACAAAATTATATAAATATAATAGTAATCAAATATATAAAACAAAATAAAAACATTAGTATATTTATTATATTAATAAACTACACATAATAATATTTCAAACTTGTATAAAGAGAAATCATTATACATATAATTACAAGACATATTTTTATATTAAAATTGAAATGAATTATTCATTAAGTTATAATAAAATGTGAATTTATTTTTATATTTGCGTAATGTTCATACATCAAATAAAGACAAAAACTATTTTTTGCATAAAAATTAAAAATACATGTTCACATTAAAATTATATATATATATAAATAAATAATTCTTTTTTTCTATTATAATTTTCTTTCATTTTTTTTACTCCATCTTAGTTGAAAACCCCCTACGAAATGGACTAAATAGGGTTCTAACTTTACCCATAAATACAGCCATCCTTTAATATATATAAAAAATTAAACTGTAAAAAAAAAAAAAAAATGTAAAAAGAAAAAAAAAAAAATTACTCACAAATACTATAAATTTTTAATTTTTTTTTTTTTTTTTTTTTTTTTTTTGGTATTCCTATTACTTTGATATAGAACTTTATATTATATATAATTTAAAAAAGATAAAAAAAAAATTTCAAGGAAAAAATTATATGATACAATAAGATATTCAATATAAATTTTTAATATATATATATATATATATGTAGATCAACATATAGTTATATTCTCGAATTATATAATTATATGTGACAATAAAATTATATTTAATGAAAAAAGGATATATGAATCTTTTGAAGATTTAAAAGCCTTACGAATATATATTTTTATTCTTAAATACTTAAATCCATATGTAACAATTATTATTATATTTATTCATTAATAAAAAATTTATTAAAATTCACATACTTTTTTAATTATTTTTTTTTCTGTTTCCTTTTTTTAATACTATATCTTCTGTTTTCAGTTTTTAAAATATTTTAATTTTCCATTTAATTTTTTAAATAGTTTTTTTAATATTACATTTTAATCTTATTATAAGTAATACTTTAAAAGAAAAATAATAAAAAAAAAAATTATATATCTATATATATATATATATATATATATATATATATATATATAAAAGAATATATAAAAAAATACTCAAATATTAGTATTTAAAAAAATTATTAAAGTGCACTAATCTTTTTCAAAATTCAAATATAACAAAAATAAAAGTAAATAATTTTGACAAAACACCACCATCTACTTTATATTTTTAACTTTTTAGCTAAATATATTCATAAATACATTATTATTACATTTTCTCTTTATAAAAAAAGTTCTATCAAAATGTAAAATTATCTTATTATTTTAAAAAAAGAATACATTCTTCGTTTACAATTCTGGAACAATATAATGAACGTATTCAAACTTTTTTAAAAAGTAAAGCATATATAAGAAATACATTTTTGTTATTTATAACTTTAAAAAATTTTAAAAATAAAAAAATAATAAATAAATTTATATTAATATTAATTTTTGAAAAAATTATTAATACATTTGATACGATTTCATAAATTAAAAATCTGTCATTTTTAAATATAGAAAAATTTATATTTTTAATATTATACATTTTTAATAAAAAAAAAAAAAATATATATATATATGTATATATATGTATATATATATATGTATATATATATATTTTTAATTTTTTTAATTTTTTTTTTTTCATATGTTAATTTATATTTATTTTAATTATTTGACAAAGTAAAAATTATAGAAAAGAAAAAATTTTGAAAAAAAATATATATATATTTATATAGAGAAATACAAATAAAATGAAGAAAATAAGTGTGTTTTTATTTATAATTTATTTTATTTGTTTGAGATATGGATATAGTATAAAAAAAAAGAGAGGAATGAATAAAAGTAGAATATTTTTAAATAAGAGATTAAAATATATAAATAGTAAAATAATAAGTAGAAGAAAAGAAAATTATGTAAAAATGAAGATGAGCGAAAATAAAATAAAAGGAAAAGACATAATATACGGAAATGAATGTAGAAATGAATTATTAAAAGGAATATTAACTGTATCAGATGTTGTCAAATTAACATTAGGTCCTAGAGGTAGAAATGTTTTGTTAGAAAAGGAATATGGTAGCCCTTTAATTATTAATGACGGTGTAACTATAGCAAAAAATATTTCTTTAAAAGATAGAAAAAAGAATAATGGTGTAAAGTTAATGCAAGAAAGTACAAATATATCAAATGATAAAGCTGGAGATGGAACTAGTTCTACAGCATTAATGACAGCAACCATTACAAAAAAAGGAATTGAAGAAGTTAATAATAATCATAATCCAATACCTATACAAAGAGGTATACAATTAGCTTCAAAAATGATAATTGAAAAAATAAAATCCTTATCAACACCAATTAAAACTTACAAAGATATTTTAAATATTGCCACAATTGCTAGTAATAATGATGTTCATATGGGAACAATTATTGCAAATGCTTATGATAAATTAGGTAAAAATGCTGCTATAATTTTAGATGATAATGCAGATATTAATGATAAATTAGAATTTACAGAAGGTTATAATTTCGATAGAGGTATAATTAACCCATATCTTTTGTATAATGAAAATAAAGATTATATTGAATATAGTAACGTTTCAACCTTAATTACGGATCAAAATATTGACAATATTCAATCAATTTTACCTATATTAGAAATTTTTGCCAAAAATAAACAGCCATTATGTATTATTGCTGATGATTTTAGTAATGAAGTACTACAAACATTAATTATAAATAAATTAAAAGGAGCAATCAAAGTGGTATGTAGTTACATATATATATATATATATATATATATATATATATATATATATATATATATATATATATTTATAAAATAGAAACATAAATATATATATATATATTATTTTTCATTATTTATACAATAATATTATTTCCATTAATATACCTTAATTTTTAAGTTATAAATAATAATTTATATATATATATACATGTCAGTTTTTTAAATAAAAATGTTCATATTTCTTGTTAATTATGAAAAATATATTTAGTTGTTATATTTTTTTTGTAAAACTTCTCCATTTTTATTGAAGTATAAGATTTTTATATATATAATATAATTTTATACAATAAAAATGGAGATATATAAAATATAGAAAAATAAGAAAAAGAATAATTCATAATTATAGAATTATAATCTTTGGTACATTTTTCATACATCTATCTCTCTCAATAAAAAAAAAATAATATCTAATAAGCATATATACATAATATATATTATATCTTTTTTTTTTTTTTAGGTCCCTATAAGAGCCCCATCATTTGGAGACAGAAGAAAAGATTACCTAAAAGATTTATCTATTGTTACAAATAGTAAATATATAAGTGCTGATGTTGGTTTAGACTTAAACAACTTAAGTAATAATATGAATAGCTTTGATAATAATTATTTATCACTATTAGGAAGTGCTAATACTTTAATAGTTAAAAAGGATAGAACAAGTTTAATTACAAAAGAAGAATATAAAAGTCAAATTGATGAAAGAATAAATGTTTTAAAAAAAGAATATGAAGAAACAACATCTAAATATGATAAAGAAAAATTAAATGAACGTATAGCTGCATTATCAGGTGGAATAGCTAAAATATTAATAGGTGGTAATTCAGAAACAGAACAAAAAGAAAGAAAATTCAAATATGAAGATGCCACTAATGCAGTTAAAAGTGCCATTGATATTGGTTATGTACCAGGTGGAGGAGTTACATTTTTAGAAATAATAAAATCTAATTTTATACAAGAAATATATAAAAAAATTGAAGAACAATTTCAAATTGATAATAATAAAGAAGAAAAAAAATATCTTGATTTAATAGGAAATTTAGAATCAGAAATAGAATTACAAAAAATGGGTGCAAACATAGTTGTTAGTAGTTTAGATGTTATTACTAAACAAATAGCTGATAATGCAGGTGTAAATGGAGAAAATGTTGTTAAAATAATTTTAAATTCAAAAGATAAATATGGTTTTGGTTATGATGTAAATACTAATAAATTCGTTAATATGGTAGAAAATGGTATTATTGATAGTACTAATGTCATTTTAAGTGTTATTAAAAATAGTTGTAGTATCGCTAGTATGGTTTTAACTACTGAATGTATGATGGTAGATAGTGAAAAAAAAGAAAAAGGTATATTAGACCCATCGTTAAATTCACGTAATTATTTAAATAAACAACGAAAACTTTTAAGAAATAGAAATAAACTTGATGAAGACGAAGATGACGATGAAGATGAAGACGATTTAGATGATGATGAGGATGAAGATGATGAAGATGAAGATGAGGATGAAGATGATGAAGATGAAGAGGATGAAGATGATGAAGATGATATGAATGACAATTATAATTATGATGAATGAAATTGTGTTTAAAAAAAAAAAAATAAATAAATGAATAATAAATAACAAAATAACTAATAAAACAAGAATAAAAATAAATAATTATAACTATATATGTATGCATAAATTTTACTTTTTTTTTTATTTCATATATATTGCCATCTAATTTTTTCTTTTTATCTTTTTTTTTTTTTTTTAATCCTTTTAATTTTAAATAAGTTTATCATTCATATTTTTTAAAACATTTAATTATAAATTATTTATCTCTTCATTTATTTTTTTTTTTTTATAATATACATAAACATATAAGTTTTAAAATATTTATAAATTTCATGGGATGAATTTAAATATTTTAAACTTTATTATTTAGCTTTTTTTTTTTTTTTTTTTTTTTTTTTTTGCTTCTTTTTATATTTTTATATTCATATGATCCTTTTATTAATTTTTAATCTTTTAATAATAACATACATAAAAAGAAGTAAAATAAAAAAAATAATAAAATTTTATTATATTAATTATGATACATAATATTTTATTTTATATATATTAAATTAACTTATACTACATACAAAATAAAATAGGCTATTTTTAACTACCATTCAATGCTTAAAAAAAAAATAAAAATAAAAATAAATAAACGATTTAAATAAGATGTAAAAATATATCCATAATTAAGATTTTAAGATGAAAATCTATTTACAATATATATATTACTTTATATTTTTTATTTTTATTTTTTTCTGTTTTTTTAAAAAGTTATGATGAATTTATGTTAGAAATGCATTTTTTTTTTTTCACATTTTTAATTTTTGTATTGATTAAATTAAGCAACACTTATAAAAAAATTCACTTCAGTAAAATTGAATTAACAAAACTTAATAATAAGTATTATGTAAAAGATGATATAATAAATTATAATAGATTTAAAAATGTGTATAATATAAAAAATCATCCTATACATAATGTTACAAATGAAATATTAAATTTTCTAAAAAAAAAAATATCTTTTTACGTTGTTTATAATAAATGTCCACTTTACGATAGTAATTTGTGTTTTAATGAAATTTTAATTAAGGACACTAATGAAACCACTTCAAAAAAAAATAATTTTTATTTTTCCGATTCATATATATATATCCCTCAAGCAACATCATTATTTCCATATGTGTATCAGTTATTAAAAAATGAAAGGAATACTAAAATAGAAAATACTAATATACATAAAAAAACAAGCAATTATTCTAATGAAAGTTTTTTTGAGAAAAATAATACTTATAATGAATCAATAAATAAGGAAAATAGTAATAAAAATGTTAAACATGAAAATACTGATATTTATTGGAATTGTTTAAATAATTATAATATTAATAATATTAGCGAAATCGATAAAATAGAAAATACCAATTTAAATTTAAATTTAAATTATTTGAACAGTGATAATTTTTGTATTGTTTCAAGTATTTTTAGAAAAGATAATATTGATAAACTTCATTTCCCATTTTTTAATCAAATAGATATATATATAAAAATAAAAAACGAACTAATTAATAAGAAAAAACAACTTATATATTTCTTATGTGAATTATTATCATTTCTTTTTAAAAAAAAATATAAATGGAGAATAAGAGAAGATTCATTTGATTTCACAACTAATTCTCTTCAAGCAGAAATTTTTTATAATAACAAATGGATAGAAATATTAGGAAGTGGAATTTTAAGAAACAAAATAATTTTTAAGAAAACTAAAAAGCATGATGTATATGATTATTTAGCTATAGGATTGGGAATAGATAGAATTGCTATGATAAAATTTGATATAAATAGAATAAGAGATTTGTATTTATATATATCAAATATAGAAAATACTTCAACTAATAAAACTACTAAAGGTTACTTAAATAATGAAACACTTTACAATGTTATAAGCAATTGTAAAAATAATAAATATTTGAATGAAAATTTAAAAAACAAATTAGTTCATGATATAAGTAACTATAAATTATCTATAGAAGAAAATATTTTATCAGAATCACCAAAAAAAGAAGGAATAAAATTAAGAGATAAAATACTAACCTCTATCAAAAAAACCTTAAATGAGAATAATGAAGTTTTACATTTCATAAATTTATACAATATAAAAAATGAAGAAAGAGATTTATCCTTTTATTCTAACCTGGAGTGGAACAATGAAGAATTTATAAAAAAAATTTTTGATTTTAAAAATATAAAAAATATATGTTTTTTGAAAAAAGTTTTTCTCTTTGATATATTTTTCAATAAAAAATTGAATAAAACTAGCTATTCTTATAAGTTCATCTATGTTGCAACAACAAATATAAAAGTAATTTATATTTAAATACATATATCATTAAAAAAAATTATATATAATGACTAAAAAAAAAAAAAAATATAAACTCATAAAAAAAAAAAATATTTAAAATTTAAAATTATATATTATAATTGGTTTCTCTTTTATTTTTATAGGAACAAGAGATTTTTAAAAATTATGTTAAAGAATTACATGAAGAAGTAATAAAACAAATTGTAAATATATATGATATAACTATTAGATAAAATTTTCTCCTTTTTATCATATGGTATTTAGATATTCTTTATTATAATTATTAATATTTTTTGCATAACAATTTTTTATTTTTTCTTATACCTTATTTGTTTATTTTTTTATTTTTTTGTTTATACATTTTTTTTCAATTAATATAAAAATTCATTTTATCTGAATTATAGAATACTTCAAAAAATTCCACAAAAAAAGAAATTGTTCCAAACCCCCAAAAGTTAAATAAATTTTCTTTTTTTTATAATTGTAAAAAAACTTCATACATAAAATACTACCTACTTTATTTATATGATCAAAAATATAAAAATTAAAAAATTGAGATAATAATTTAGCTTCTATTTCTAAATGTTTATTCTCATAAATTTGCTTTACACAGTCATTAATTAAATTTATTTTATACACAAATATTTGTTTTTTTTTGGAAAAAATAGCTACATATATCTCTTTATCAATGTAATAAAAATCAAAAAGAACTATTTTTAAATTATGTTCTAATTTTAATCTTATAAAATATAAATCATGGCTGTATAATGTATTATTTTCATTCGAATCTTTTTTATCTATATTTTTATCCTGATAATAATTCGTTTTCATAAATTTATCTATAATATGTTTTATGAATATAAAATACACATTGCTATTTGAATGCAAAAATAAGATATCTTCTTTTAAATACATCTTATTTATTTTCTCCTCTATTTTTATAATGTATTCAGAGAAAGTCAAGAATTCATCAAATATTATTAATTTTTTTTCATATAGGATGAAAACATAACATAGATCATTTACAAATGTAGAACTGATATACTTTTTTCCTTTAAAATTATATAAACTTTTTAGTAGATCATTATTTAAGTTTTTCACTTCTTTATTCAAAATATTATATAAATATAATGTGTTTTCATTTAACACAGCAATATATGTATCAAAATCATTATTGTGTTTTGTATATTTATTAATTATTTTTTTTCTCCTTTTTTTTTTGTTTCGTAATATTTCATGATTCTCATTTTCTGAATATATTGAATAATATACATAAGAAGTTTCTTCATTATTTGAAAAATCATCTGTTGTATCATTCCTATATAAATAATGATTTTTATTTCTATTAAACCAACAAATAGATACAATATTTTGATTTTCTTTTACTGAAGGAATAATTACATTTTTTGTATCATTTAAGAAAAAAAATCCAAATACATATTTTTTATTAATAAATGCAATAATAGGTAAATTAGGATGATTAATTAAATAGATACAAATATTTATATTGTTATAATATATTGACTTTAAAAAATTTCTTTTAGAGCTATCTATGACTAAATTATATAAATTCTCATTTCCTAAAGAAAAAATTATATTATTATGAAAGTACAAGATATGGTATATCCATGCACCAATGGTAAAAATTTTGTAAATAACTTGATTACTATTTATAAGAAATAAATAATAAAATTTTTCTGAATCGTATACATATATATATTCATTATTCTTTATGGTAAAAGAATATAAATAAAATATTACTTTACAATTTATATCAAATGTATTTATTACTTTTTGTTTACTTAGATTATATACATTTATTAATCCTTTATTATTTGATATAAATAAATTATCCTTTAAATCGAAATATATACAAGTATAATAATTCAGTTCTTTTTCTTTTTTCTTTAAATCCATATTTTTTACTTGTTGCAATGAATTATTATTTTTGATTTTTTTTTCCTTTTTCCCATATGCATATTTTTCAATGTAGATATTACTATTTTTATCTTCATCATAATTATTATTATGATTATGCTCTATATTTTTCTCATCGAAATTATTAACATTTAAATTTTTTATTTTATTTTCATCATAATTTATTATATCATCTTTTAAACTTTTATTATGGATATTATTTTTTTCAATTACATTATTTATTTGAATGTTGTGTAATAATTTTTTTTCATTAATGTCAAATACTTTTACATAATTTTTAGTAGAAAAAGATAAATAATTTTTCCATAAATAATTAAATTTGGTAGTAAGACAAAATAACTTTTCATTCACAAAATTTATAATAAAATATGTTTCAAAAATATAAAAATTAAGTACATGAATAGAATGATTAAAAGCTATAAAAATATAATAGTTGTTATTAATTGTTTGAAATAAATCATGTCTATTTTTTATCTTAAAATATTCTTTAACATTTGTTTCAATGAATTGAATTCTCTCATTTGCTAATTTTTTTTTTATTTTAATTTTTTTTTCAGGAAAAAAAAAATAAACATTACCTTCATTATCGCCATATATTAAAACATAAAAAATATTTTTTAAAATTCTAAAATTTTGTTCATATAAATCATCAGTAAATTTATCTTTCATTAATTCAAAACAGTATTTATTCTTTGCAACAATCTTTTCATCAATATTATCAAAATCAACTATTTTTATATTTTCTTCATATATATCATTCGATAATTTATTATATAAACTATTCTTTTCATTTATATAAAGAAAATTGAAATTCAAACAAGTTATCTGCTTTTTCTCACAAATACTAAAAATGGAATTATTTTTTTTAACATCTAATAAATATATTTCATTTTTCTCGTTATAACAAAATAAGTAGTAATTTATATTTTCATCAGAATTTTCCAATGATTTATTTCCATTCAAAAAAGAATATGATTCTGTATGTATATTTAACAATTTTAATATATAATCAATATTTATATAAAATAGGCATGATAAAACTTTTTTTTCATTAAACATGTTAATATTTAATATTTCATTTTTCAAAATTTTTCTGATAATGATACTATGCTTATGTACTGAACAGGTTACATAATCTTTTACTCTGTATCCATGAATTTCATTATATTTTAAAAAAGGTAATGGATACGAAAAATTACCATTAAACCAAAATAAAGAAGGAAAGAATAAAATATTTCTTAAATAATTTTTCTTCTGTTTTTTTTTTATTATGTCATTTTGATATATTTTCAAATCATATTTATTTAAATTTTCATATTTTGCATCAAGCATTTTATAAACTATATCTCTCTATATCTTTATCTTATAAAACTAAAAATAATCTATATATGAAGAAAAAATATATATAGAAGTAACTTCTAATAAAAATTGCATTTTTAAAATAAAAAATAAGAAATGTATTTCATTAATGCTTTTTACCAAAGGATACCTATTTTTTTAAATTTACATAAAAAGTATAATAGAAGCACATTTCTTTTTTTGAAAATTAATTAACTTAATTTTTTTTTAAACTTGAATTAAAATCCTTTTATTTTTTTCAGGGTATCAAGAACATTTTAAATAAAATGAAACCATATGTAAATATAAATTTATAAAGACCAGCTATAAAAATTTTATCTGTTTTTTGTTAAGTTAAAGTTTTAATAATATTAATGTATAAATATATGCATATATATATATAATATACCTATATTTCTCTTTTTTTTATTTTCACTTTAATAAATAATTGAAAATGTTAAAATCATTTTAAAAAAATTGTAAAAAAATATATAATATATATACATATAAAATGAAAAAAAGTAATGAATTTCAAAAAAAATTATTTAGATAACGAGCTTTTTAAAATAAAATCTTTTTAAAACTTCAAAAAAAAAAAAAAAAAATTTTATAAGTTTTAAATTTAAAACACAATGTATTAATAAAACATTAAATATAACACATTTATTCACATCTATAATATTTTTTTTTTTTTTTTTTTTTTTTAATAAATATTTTAACTACCGTAAAATATTTATAGTAGTAAAATTCACAATTTCAAATGACTTCTTTGTGTGAAATAAATATAAAAAAAAAAAATAATAATAAAAAAAGCAAAAGAATAATATTATATCTTTATATCTAAAAAAAAAAAAAAAAAAAAAAAAAAAAAACTGTCAATGCATGTAAAGCATATTAAAATACTATTAAAACGCATATATATTTTTTAATTTTTACTTATTTTTTTTTTTTCAATTTTTGAATTAAAAAAAAGAAAAAAAAAAAAAATATTATGCTATAGATCTTATGGGTACTTTCAAATCAAGAAATTAATAAAAATATTTTATAAAAAGAACACTACATTTAAAAATAAAATAAAGCAAAATAAAATAATACTTCACAAAGTATAATAAAACCTAATAAAATATAGTAAAACTTAAAAATAAAATGGAATAAAAATTAAAAAAAATTCACGTAATTGTCAGAATAATTCTGATCATTTTCAACGTGTGATGAATGAAAAGAATAATTTAAAAAACTTTTATTTTCTTCTTCATTTATTTTTATCTCAAAATTTCTTATTTTTTCTTCTTTTTTTTTAATTTCACAATATTCATCTTCATATTTATCAAAAGGATTATTTAATGATAATTCATCCATATACATTTTTGTACTTAATGTATTTCTATATAAAGAAGAATTATTATCATTATGCTCAATTGAATTAAAATTATCATTAATAGTAGAATCAATGTTTAATGAAGTGTTATTTAATGATTTTAAATTTAATGTATTGTTTTGGTTTATATTCATATGAATATTATTATTTACTTGTGGTATTGTATTGTTATAATAATTAAACATATTTTTTTTATCATATAAATTTGATTTATCTTCAGAAAAATAATTAAAGTTTTCATTAATATCCTTATCATTATTTACATTAGTATTGGAATATGTAAAATCATTTTCATTAAAATGAATTTCATCATTAGAATGCTCTTGATTCATTATATAATTCTCTCCATTCATATTATTAAAAGATAATTTGTCATACTTTTCATATTCCTTCGTTTTATTATTTAATATATTTTCATTTATACAATTATTCATAGTATTAAAACCTTTTGAAGATGATTGCGGTTGTAGACGACTTACATTTCTTGCAGTGGATTCATTAATTTGGCTTTTTTCTTCATAATCCATATCTATATCATTAATAAAATCAATATTAATTAAATTTTTTAAATCTTCTTTCATTTCTTCATTCTGAATATATTTATCATTGATTATTTCTCCATTAAAATTGTGATTATAATTGTTTTGTTTTATGCTACTATTTCTTTGATTATAATTTATGTGTGTATTGTTCTTATTTTCCGAATAATTATTCATATAACAATTTTTAAAATTTCTTAATACACTTTTTTCTTTTTTATTATTTGAATCTGCATGATTACTGAATTGATTTGAATTAGATATACCATTTTGTGCTCCTTTATTTGAGTTATTATTCAATGTAAAAATATGTTGATTTAATGAATTCATATTATTATTAGAATTATTTGAAAATGATGCATAATGCGTCTGTTTCTTAAATGAAAAATTATTCATCATGTCTTTATTAAAAGAATTTAAAAAGTTAGATAAATTTGAACCATTTCTATGTGAATTCCTATTTTTAATATTGTATATATTTCTTGAAGAATTTCTAGATGCAAACATAGTATTATTATGATTTATGTTATTATTTGTATTGTAATTTAATTTGCCATTTACATTTTTATTTATATTATTGTTATTTATACTACTATTATGTATGCTATTACTATTAATATTATTTAAATTATCATTATTTATGTTATTACTATTAATATTATTATTAACTTTATTAGTTAGAAACGCCTTATTTGATTTCATATTATTTGGGCTATTCTTACTACCACCATAATTATTGTTTAAATTGTTGTTATTATTTTTGCTTAATATATTATTAGATGTAATTACTGATGTATTATTATTACTTTGAAAATTAAGAGAGTTATTTACACCTAATGAAGGACTATTTATATTGTCATTATTTATAACCATATTATTACTATCTATATCATCCATATTATTATTCACACTGCTTCCTATATTAATATTGGTATTATCGCTAGCATTACTTGTCTTTGTTTTTTGTAAACTTTTTTTGTTTTCATTAATTTTTTTGTTATTATTACTACCACTTTTATTTTGTCCAATAATATTTTTATTATATGTATTATAATGAAAATTTATTTTGTCCATATTTTCTATATTTTCATCACACAAATTATAATTTTCTTTGAATAAAAATAAATCGTGATAATTTTTATTAATTTTTTTTATTTTCTTAAACTCTGCTGCTGATGATCTCGGCACGGCCCTTTCTATCCTTAAATCTCGAACAGATATACTACTTCTTAAAGGAATATTAAAAAAATTAAACATATCTTCTTTCCATTTATCAGGTGTATTTTTATATGCCTTTAAAAATTTATTCATACAGGTTAATGTTTTAAATTTTATTTTTATATGTGATCCTTTCGGCGGATGAAAATAAATATTATCAATTTCTTCATATCCCATTAATTTTAATATATATAGCATTTGTTCTTTTGCTTCAATATATTCAGCTAATTTATTTCTTTCAGCGGAATTTTTTGGTAATTCTAGTGGATATTGGCATCTAGCACTTTTGGGAACCCATGAAATATATACCATCATATCACTAAAATATTCATTTGGAAAAGAATTGTTATTTACATAAAACATTTTTTTTGAATTTTTATCATTTGTTAAAATATTATTATTTTCATAAAGAATTTTTTTTTTGGAATTTTTTTCTTTTATTTTTTTCTCCATAAATGAAGTTTCTGTTAAACATGTTGATAAACTAATTTGTGTTTCATTATTATCTTTACGAAAATAATTAGATGTTTTTTTATTCAAATTTAATTTATTAATTTTGTTTGTTTTATTACTTCCATTACTTAATGAACTGAAATTTGTTTTATTTGATATTTCATGATGATCATTACTAATTTCTTCAATTTCTCTTTTAACAATGGAAGGATTTTTTATACCTTCCATTTTTTCCCCACCACTATTTTTGTTATTTGCTGTGTTAAGTAAATACATAAAATTATTCAAATTACTTAATCTTTTTATTTTATTTTCATCAATGTTTTCATCTGCATATACATTTTTTAACACCTCTTCTAAAACATTTATAACTTGCTTTTTACATAAAATTGAAAATATTCTACTTACATTTTTGTTCTCCATTATATTTTCTTCACATTCAGTATTACATTCTCCCCTTAATTTTTTCTCAAATATTTCATAAAAAGAATTTTTTAACTCATTTAACATATCATCATTCATATTTAAAAAAATATTATTTTTTTCATTTTTACTTTTTTTTAAAAAATCAAATAGCAAATTATTATTTTCTTTTAATTTTTCTATTTCTTCTTTTAAATATTTTTTGATTTCTTTATTTTCAATATCAATATATTCTATTTTTTCAACAAGAAAATTGTACAAATCATTATATAATAAAATTTCATTAACTTCTTCATTATATAAATTTTCATGTTTTCTTATCTCTTTAAATAATCTTTCAATTTTTTCTAACTCATGTAGATTTCTTTTTTTTCTCATATCATTATATATGTTTTGATTTCCTTCTATCTCATTTGTTAAATTTATATTCTCTCTCATTTCATATAAGTTTTCATTCGTTCTTACTTCATTACATATTATATTTTCATTTTTTTCAGTTTCATTATTCATATGTTTATTTTTTCTTATCTCACTATTTAACACTTCATCTTTCACCATTCCATGAATTACATTTTCATTTTTTTCTATTTTGTTATGTAAACATTCATCTTTCCTTATTTCGTTGTTTAAATTTGCATCATCACTAGTTACATTAACTTTTAACTTTTTTAAATTATTTAACCGATCTAATAAATTGTAAATATATCCTTCTTTTATTATATTTTCATCATTATTGCATTCTCTTTTTTCATTTTTCATATCTGTATTCCCTTTTTTTATGCAATCTTCTTCAATTCGTGAATCTTCTTCTTTTTTAATTTCTTCCATTTTACCAATTTAAAAATTATTTTACTATATATATACAAATAAAAACATAAAAATGTGAACAAATTAAAAAAAAAAAAAAAAAAAAGGAAAAAAAATTAAGATAAAATGAAATCACAATACACTATTTTAAAAAATATTCCCATAAAAAAAAAAAAAGAAATTTAATACAATAAAATGATGATACACATATAATTTTTAAATTCTAAAATAAATTCATATATTCCCTTTAAAAAATTTATTTAAAGATAAAATACTCTTTTTTAGATTATATATTTAAAAAAAAAAGAGAAATCTGAATAAAATTTCCTTATAAAAATAATTATATGCATAAAAAAAATAAAGGAAAAAAAAAAAAAAAAAAAAAAAAAAAAAACTAAAAACTAATTAATAATGTAATAAATATTTTAAAAAAATTTTTTTATATCAATAATATTTAATAATATGTTTTTATTACTTTGTTTTCTTTTTATATATTATATAATCACAATTATAATATAAAAAGAAAAATTGACATAAGCATTTTATCTTTTTACTTTATTGTAACATCTTTTTTTTTTTTTTTTTCTAGTTGTAACATTAATATAACAAAAATAATATTATACATATATATACATCATAACTTTTTATAAATAAAAATGTACATCTTTTAATAATAATGAAAGAGAAAAAAAAAAAAAAATAATGAATAAAAATAAGAATCAAACTGTTCATAAATAGTAAATTTACAAATAAATTAATTTCTCATTTTTTCATAAGTATTTCTTTAACACAAATAAATATAAATAGTTTTTTTTTTTTTTTTTTTTTTGTTATTTTATTTTTTTTTTTTTTTTTTTAAATATAAAAGTTTTTTTTTTTTTTTTTTTTTTTTTTTTTAAANAAAAATTTTTTTTTTTTTTTTTTTTTTTTTTTTTTGCTTGTATACTTTTGTACAATAATTTTATTATTTAAACTTTAAAAAAAAGAAAACTTTACATTCAAACAAATTATAAAATGTAGTTTAATAATATTATTCATTTTAAACTTATAACTAGCATGAAGAATTATATGTTCCTTATATGAATCACTCAATTAAATATTAGATAAATATCAAATTAAAAAAAAAGAGAATAAAATATATTTTTTAGCCAATATTTAATAAATCAAATTAAATCATATATGAACATATATATATATATATATACATATATATTTATATTTATATTTATTTATTTTATATATAAATAAATGTAAAACAACATTTTATTTATATATATCATATTTTATATCAAAATTTTTTTTTTAGAATTAGTAAAAAAAAAAAAAAAAAAAAAAATTATGAGAATAAATCATGCTCAAATATTAAAGTAAAAATTTATATGAAATGATAATTTTTTATATATATATTTTAAATGTATCCTTGTAAAAAATAAAAAATATAAATATACATGTATATGCTTATTATATTAATAATAAATTTTTTAAAAATATATAATATAAAAATTAAAACTTACGTATTTTATCAAATAATCAAACTCAAGTAAATAATTTTTTTTTCTATCTTTTATAAAAAAAAAAATATAAAATAAATGAAAATGCAAAAATTTAAATAATAAACATATAATTTAAAAAAAAAAAATTATTTCAGATTTTAACAAAATTATCTTATAAAAATCTTATACTACTTTTAATATATGTAATAAAAATGCAATTTGTTAAGAAAATTAAAAAAATTATATTTTTTATATATAAAAAGTAGTAATATCAAACATTTTTTTAGTTATAAATATTCTATAGTTCAAAGCATCTAAGGTAAAAAGAGAAAAAAAAAAAAAAAGAAATTCGTGATAATAATCTTGAATCTTAATTTCTGCTCAAATAATGCAGTACTACAATAGATAGTAAAGAAATAAATGAAATATAATATACAAGTACAAAATATATATATGTAATGTAAATATATAATAATTATAATAAATAATAATAATTAACTATAAATACTATTTTCTTATTTCTTAAGTTTTCATTATAGCAAATCAATTATTATCAAAAAAAAAAAAAAAAAAAAAAAAAAAAAAAATATTAAGAAATAAAATTTTAAAAA